GGAAGAATGAACAGAGGGATTTTGTGTGTAACACAGAGCAGCCTGGTTGTGAGAATGCTTGCTTCAAATAGTCCTGCCCCATCTCTCAGATTCACCTTTGGGCTCTGCAGCTCATCATGGTATCTGCACCCTCCCTGCTGGTGGCTTGCAGAAAGCGCAGGGAGGCCAAGGACAAAGGCAGCATTGATAGGGGTCTTTATTGCACTTACATCCTTAGCCTGTTCATTACGATGGGCTTTGAAGTGGGCTTCTTGCTGGCTTTTTACTTCTTGTACAATGACTTCGGGGTGCCAATACGGCTGCAGTGCAGTCAGGAACCCTGTCCTAACACTGTGGACTGCTATATATCCAAATCTACAGAGAAGAAGGTCTTCCTCATCTTAATGGGCTGTACTTCCATTCTGTGCATAGTCCTCAACTTCTTAGAGCTCATCTGCATCATGCGGAAGTGGCTGTGGAAACATTGCACTGTAGATCAGAGGATTTTAAGGAGCAACGAGCTGCATGTTTCACCTGAAACAGATTTACATCAGCTGAGTACTTTGAAAAAACATGACCTACAGCTGATGAGGTTGAAAAACCTGTCACTCCACTTCCTCAGTGCCCGGAACAAGAGCAAGTACACTGTTCCAAAGAAGAATCTCTTTAATCCTGAAAAGTAATTAAAAGATATGTGAACATTTCTGTGTTTTAAAACATATCTTAAAACTTCATAATATTAGTTTTTTCTTTTTTCTTTTTTTTTTCTATTTCATAGATACATGGGATTTAATTAGAATATGTAACACAATATGTTATCTGCATCTTGCAGATAATATTGTTTATGTTTTAAATATTTACCGTCACAGATTTTTATTTTTATTTTTTCAGTTTGTATATATGACGTTATGTTGATCTGTATTTTCTGTAATCCCTCTTTGTGCTTTCCTGGGAACATTTTAGTTCTTTATATTTCTTCCAATAATATGTGTCACATCTTGTCTATTCTTAAATTCTTGGCTCTTGTACAGGATAACAATGTTTCAGATGAGCTTGTGGACTGTTGCTCTGATGTTAAATGCTGGTTTTCTAGCAAATACTTAAAGCTGAAACTGAAAACCAGAAACTGAAAACCAGAAAACCTGATTTTTAATTGGTCACCCCGGCTTAGGGGTGCTATGTCTGCTGACCTTAACACATTTACTCCACCAGAGGGCATCAGTGGTAATGTTATTGATCTGCATCAGGACCAGATCTGGTTGCTGGATGTCATGAGATGAACCATATGAAAATCTTTTGGTGGGGGGTAAATATTGTTAATAACTGAACTCTGAGTTCTGATTGGATGGGTTTGATTTAAAACTCAGAAACACTGTTATCTGTTTTGAAGTCTTAATAAGGGGTTGACTTTCATCTCAGAAGTCTTTAACAGAAGAAGTTGGAATCTGACAACTGGTAGGATAAAACCAAATCTGATTTAAATAAAATGGATGATCATTAACAAGTCTGATGAATACATCTTGAGAGCTCAAAAAATGCACATATATAGCTGCACTTTGACACATAATGTCACAAGTTTTCCCAAAATAATTCAAATACAGGAAGATGCAGGACAGAAACAGAGCTTAACCTCTGGCAAGAAGAAACAATGGCATTGCAAAAGGATGGGAAAGAGCAAAAGATATGAGAAGCGAAAAGAAAAATGTATCCCAACATGAAGCATACAACTAGAAGAGTAAAACTATTGGTGCTTTTGGGTATGCAGAAAAATCTTGGTATTTTGGTGTAAAAATACATATATATACGGGTAACATTCTTGGACTGATAACTGCAGCTTCTGAGACAATGGTCTAGCTGGCCAAGCACAAATCAAGTGGTAGTCTTCCCCATGTTGGTGCTTATTATAGCATAATATTTATTGGCTTTTCAGTTTTCAGTAGCAGTAAGCCATAATCATAAAAAAAAACAACTTAGTGTAAAACCCTATTAGCCACCTATGGGTTTCTTTTGCCTTTACTTTTTGGTCATACGTCATTGTTTCAGAAAATCGAACAAATTTGACATTGAAAACAACATCAGCTAAGTAAATATAAAAGCAGTTCTAGAATAATGATTTTATTCCTTATCAGAGAAAATCTATCCAACCAACACTGTAATCTGTGAAAGAAAAACTGCCCCTCTTGTTAATTCATGAATCGGTTTTGATTAAACAAGTTTTTCTTTTGTAAAATTTAACTTAATGTTTACCCTGAAACTCAGCCAGACTATAACCTGACCTGCAGATATGAAAATGGTTTAACTATTCAGGAGGCTTAACATACTCATAAAACAACACATAAAAAAAAACAAAAAAACAGTAGATTTATAATCACCAATGTGTAACGGGTTATCAAGTCACATGTAAGAGTTTTAGATGTCAGCCCAGTAGAAGTGAGAGCCCTATCCACAGCCGGAAAATTAGCATGCAGTTGTGTTGAACCCAACCAATTACCCAAAATATTGGAAAATAATTATCTGAAACTCTGAAGACCTCCCTTGGTTCAGGGAGTTCAACACTCAAGAGCAAGAAAGACAGAGCAGGGTCGGCATCAATACGATATTTCTAAGGCCAGAACCGCTGCTGTCTTTAAAGAACAAAAACAGCATATATGAAATTCATTAAAACCATCCTGGTGGTCTGAAAGACTTGGACAACACACTCTGGACTGACAACAGAAAAGTGGACCTTTTTGAAATGGGAGTTACATCGATTCTAAAAGAAACAGACAGCCAAGCATCAAGTAGGTAGTCTGATGGTTGGAGGATGCTTCACCACAACATCCTGCAGGAAAAAGTCCAGCCACCTTAAGTCCCTGCCAGGTCATCTCTAAATGATTCTAAATACCAATGTTCTAGTGTGAACTGGACAAAATTTCAGATTTAAAATCATATTTGTATGACCTGTAATTCATATGCAAAGTGACCCCCAAACTGGTTGGATTATAACATGCCTGCAAATGAAATAAAAATAAATTCCTCAGTGGTAATGTGGTTTGTGAGGTCACAAAAACTCTTGATTTCAGATGTTATTACTTAGTATGGCATGGTTATAGGGCAATGGCTTTTTCACAGAGTGGAAAGTTGGTTTGGGAAGATTTTCTTACCTAAGAATTGTCTTATACAGAAACAGCTTTCCATATTCATTCAGTTTGTCTTTATCCAAAATCAAAATGTATTTAATGATCTGTTTCATGAGATTGACAAAACAAACAAAACTGATAAAAAAAAACTGATGGGACAAAGGCCTTTTTATATCATTGCATGCCTCTTTTTTCCATAATAAAGAATGATTATTTACAGTGGGCTTACATATGACTTTGACTAGTTGAAATAACTATTCTAGTTAACGTCTTTCTGATTATACTTTAATTTATGAAAATGCACCTTTATACTCTCAGCTGAGGTTTTTTGTAGGGATAGAACTAAATTGAACAAAAACAGAACAAATAAGTCAGAAATGTACTTATTTGGCTTCGAAGTTCACCTTTGGAGCAATAAACCCTTTATTTCTACCTGTAGGTGTCTAGGCTCAAAGAGGGGTCTATCAGATAATGTATTTGCATCATATGTAGCCACACCTTAGTAGAAGAGCTGCACTACTACCACTGCCTGAGGAGGATGCATGTATTATTTACTTATCAGCAGAGTAACACGATCCCTCTGTCATCAGCTTGTCGCCACAGGCAGGTGAAGGTGGATGGACAGCACCACACAGCTCGGGCCCTGAATGAATTTTATTTGCATTATGATGTTGTCTCTGTACACACCCACTTGCAGCAGGTGGTGTGCTCTGAGGCTGCCGCTGTGAGGCATATTTCACTAAAAATGCCGTGTGCTGCAGAGAAAAGGAAACTCAAGACTGGTGTGAATCTGATATGACGCGGCTGCATGTCAGGAGTTTGCTCAGGTAGAGTACGGCTCTCTGCAGGTGAGCAGGCTGAAGAACTCAGAATCACCTTAGTCGTCTGACTAATAACTGGTAAGTTCTACATTCTGCCTAACTTAAAACATAAATTTAAACTTTTGTATGGATCCAAATGAAATATTTAGTAAGATGTTTGCTGTAAGGGGATAAACTCCAAACACATCAAATGGTAATGTGGAGAACCAATTAATTTCTATAACCTGAGATCTCAGTTATAGATTAAACAGGTTGTCTTCAGTGGGAAAACTTTTGTTTAAGGATGATATTTGTTCACTTTCTGTAATGAGGAGATGTATGAATAACTATACTTTGACTCATATTCTAATATTAGTCTCATATTAGAGAAAGTAGCATAGCAAGGTAGAAAATGTATTTCATTGTTTGCCAATTTAATTCTTTCAGTTTACCTAGACTTGGCTTATACATGAAATACCCACTGGGTTGGATGTAAATACCAAATAAATATGACATTCTGGATGGATGCTACTCAGTTTCATGAGAAGATTCAGTTTAACATCCCTGATGTTGCTATTTATACAGTATACAGTAGCTGTATATTGGTTATTTATTCTCCAGGTGCACAGTATTTATATTGTTAAAACACTTTAAAGTACAGTATTGTATTCATTTATTTTTTAACTCTTCACTATTATTTTACACTTTTCAATTTCCACATTTGAGTGGCATTTTTCTTTGTTATCTTTTTTGCTGCTGTAAGACTAGAATTTCTCCATTGTAGGAAAATAAAGAAATGTTCTATTCTTTTCTATTCTATTATAATATGAAGTTACATTTATACATACAGATGCCTCAAATTATTTATCTTATACTTAAAAATGTATGTTTAGGCCAAAAGTAAAACTATAAGCAGTATACTTTTTTTTTTTTTGCTGCTTTCTCTTTCCTTTTCAAGTCTTCAAATTCCATCTCTCACGTGTTTACATTTTTCGTTGAATAGTTGGCAGTGCAACATAGAAAAAAAAGACAGAGACAGCTATCTCTAAGGGTTTAGAAGTTATCAAATGTTGTATAATTCAGGTTTGAGTTCAGTCCGCTCTTCTCAAGCCATTCCATTGTACCAGTTGTGCACGAAGATGAGCCCCTCTGTAATGTTAAAGACTGTGAAACACATATCAAGTTGAGATTGTGGAACTAAAAGAGGCATGGAAGTGAACACTGTTTTTGTCACAATGAACTGTTTTATAAAAATCTGGTCCAAACATCCCCATTTCTAGAAAGTTCCACACCTCAGCTGAGTGTTTTGTTCTGTTTTTTTCAGATAGCCGGTGTTATACTTCCAGTAGTTGCAGTAACTTTAATGAGGAAGAAAGTCGTGTTAGTAAAAGTAAAATTAAATTATATAAATAGTGCAGCTCAACATTATTGATATATTTTTTGCAGTTGCATCTAAAGCATCTGGAATCAAAGCATAGTTGGGCCTTACTTCCACAAAGGTCCGGACTGTGACCACTTCACATGACAGTTCAAGGAACTGTCACAAAAATAAGCCATATAGGAGTTATAGGGGCTGAACATTATGAAACCAAATATCTTTCCATTCAGAAGTTAGAAGAGAATTCAACCTGGGTATTAGAAAATGTTTCTTTAATCTAAAACACGCTTTATTCTTGGGTGGTTCAAGATTTGGGTTATTGACATTTGGTTCACAAATCTTAGTTTAGCAAAGTTACCACAGTTCCTCTAAACATTGCCCTCTCTGATTTTAAGGGAGTTTCTTTTTAGGACATCAAAAACTGTTTTGAATGTTTTCCGCATTTGAATAATCTTTCCCACCAGTGTAAAAATAACTAAGGTAAAATTATAAGGAAATACTTTCCTGTTCCCTTGGAAAGTATTAGGAAGCACCTGTTGTATTGTAGATGACTTTTTACTATTGCATTTTACCAACACATATCTGTACGATCCATATGAGATATCACCCAAACTCCAGAACTTCTGGATGTGATCATTTTTAGGATTATCAGTAAATCATTGCTTATTATAATCTGCATCATTTAGCTTAAGGTTATTTTCATTAATAATTTCCTGAAATCGAACACTTGCAAAAGGAGAATACTAACAATGACTGCATTTGTGATTCATTGATATTGATACTTTAAATCTGTTTTGTGTGATTTTAAATCTAACTGGTGGTTTA